TCAATGGCCTCCTTCCTTCCAGACTTACAAATGAGTGGCTCGGTTCCACGTTTTGCTGCCGATCCAGGTGCCCAGGCGGACAATGTGGGGCCAAGAAGCACGTGGGAGAAACTAAAAATAGAACAGCAGTTTGGACGCATACCAGAGCAGCTACTTCATCTCAACTTGCTTTGCACACTAAGCCTAATGGGATCCATCAGGCATGAGTTCTCTCTCCCTCCCACTCTCTCCCTCTGTCCCTCTCCCCAGCTGCCATCAGAGCCTTCCTGGTGAAGGGAGCAAAGAGAGGTCAGGCAAGGGACAAGAAATGTGTGTCCTTAAGGTTTTAGTTTGCAAGACCTGGGAGATCTGGGGGCTGCAGTTATTCCTTCCATACACATGTGTCTAGAAAACAGCAGGCAGGCCCAGAACACGGTCACCTGTGCCCAAGAACACGGTCACTTCGCTCTAAGACTTTCACTGTTTAGCAAAGGCTCAAATATCAGTTCCTTAAACACCGGGGAGGTGTGCCCTAGACCCACACTCGTACACTCCTCAAAAGTTAGAGAACTAAACTACACTGTGTGTTCCTCTTACAGCCTGCGTGGCTGGAGACTAAGAATTTGGGAGCAAGTGCACAATCCCAGATGGAGGGGCTGTGGCACATGTGGGGGAGCCAGCAGCAGGTGACTGCCCAGGGCCTGTGGAAGCCTCCCACCAAGGGACATGCGATTCTATCGGAAAACTTTTTCCAATAGAAAGTGGAACAGATAAGTATGAAGTTAGGCACATGCCATCCTGCCTGGGCACAAGGCCACCCTGACTGCCAGCTGCATTGACTGAACTAGGCTCCTTTGTGTCGTGGATGGGCCTCCTGCAGCTTCCCCACCCGAAGGAGTGGTTGCGTGACCCATATGTGTCTCATTTCTTCATCTGGAAGGTAGTGCAGATGTTCCAAACAGCTATGTATTATTCCAACAAGATGAATAGAACAGATTTCAAAGTAAAAACCTTTTTCAATGTTTTTGTTTTGGAGACTGGCCACATAAAACTAAAAGACATTGACCTGATGGGTAGTGGGTTTTGTCTGTAAGCTTCAGGAAGGTGTCAAGGTCTTTTAAATTGTGCCTTCGTTTCATATAATACCGGTATAAAATAAATACGCCAAGCTACCTCGGGAAAAGTCACACACCATATAATCGGAGCAATAATTACTTCCCCAAAGAATTTCCCACAGAACAAATTGCAACATGATCGCTGAATCCTCCAGCCACCAGAGGACAAGGGGCATCTTCCCTCAGGCCTCCAATGTTCTTGAGGCTCAGTTTACCTCCGGGAGGTACTGGGTCTGTTGTTGAACAAACCTGATATCAAACACCAGAAAGCTTCCTATGCTCACCAAGTAAATGTCTGCAGACTGGAAATCGGGATACCTAGGTTCTACTGCCTTAGACAAGCCACGGTTTCTGAGGGCCCCCTTTTTTCACGCAGAAGACGAAATGGCAGAGGTGCAGGATTTCTAAAGTCTGAAAATTTTATGACAGAAATAAATGATGTGAGAATTAAGTTGATTCTGGTGCTTTCTTTCCTTCCCCCCCCGCCCCCCCACAAGTTCATTCTTTACCTCTGTTATTGAGTTCTCCATCTCCAAGTCTGTGGCGAGCCTGCATGGCCATGGCATACTCGACTCCACGCTGAGTGCCTTATGTGCCACGCCAGCTCAGCTGGGTTCGTTGAGCCCGAGTGGGGGTGGCGAAGGATTGAGAAAGGACAGACAAGAGAAAAAAGCTGGGTCTGGGTGGGACGCTATCCTCTCTGATGGAGAGCTAGTGACAGCACCACGGACTACAAGCAGTGTCTTTATTTTATAGCCAGATTCCACGAGGCAAAATGAGGGCATGGCTACAACGTTCTCGTGGGTTTCGAATCTACTCAATTACATGCACCTGAACTCTATCAAGCCCACATCACTCAGGCACGTGGGGCCACATGTTCGGACCATAGGTTCAAGCTTACAACTACAGCTGTTGGCTATAATTGTGCTGGGAGGGCTCTGCCCTCCAAGCTGGGACTTGCATGTGGCCACGAGAGGACTGTGCCCTCTCATTAGTCTGAGGCTTGAACCTGTCCAAACACTGTGGCCACTCTCCACAAATGTCTATTTGGTTCGTTTTTAAAGTTTCAACCTCTAGAGTAAGTACTCATTTTGTTCACTGGTTTTTATTTCTGAGTTCATCAAACTGCTTCTGTCTTTCTTGTTGTAACTCGGAGTTTTTTTGCAGAACTGTGATCTTGAATTCTGTCATTCAAATCACACATTTCCATGTCTTTAGAAGTTTATTTTCTGGAGATTTGATCTTTTCTTTCTGTGCAGCCTCATTACCTTGGCTATTTGTGGTGTTTGGTGGATTCCTTCTCTGTCCACCTATGTATGACAAGTGTTTTTAGTTCCTACACTGCTCTGGCTTTCAGATCTCCGTGACTTTGGTGTTTTCTTTCTTCCTGCCTGGGTTTTTGTTTATTTGGTCAGTGGGCTCATAGAGAGCTAGTTATCGTGAAATATAGTGCATGATTCTTCAGGATGAGCAGTGTTTCTACTGTGTGAAAATCTCCCACACTCTAACCTTATCTTTTCAGTTGCCCCTCGGAGGTGGGTCTCCCTGATTCTTCTTGGTTCATTGAGAAGAAACAGAAAGATTCTGTGTTTTGAGAGGCTCTTTCTGGATCATTTCCCAATGATCATAGGCTTTGTAACCCATTGGCAAAGGTGAGGGTGACAATGGGGTGTTGGGCAAAGTGGACGAGGTGGTTGATGGAATAGCTTAGGTTAAGAAGAATGCTTGGCAAGGCATCATGAAACAATGTCTGGAATGTTCAAAACAGAGATTTGTTTAATAGGAAAAAAAAAAGGCTTATCAACTATAGTAATTTTTTCTGAGCACTGAGCTGAGAAATAGCTAGTCTTATACTTTGTAGCCATGAACCGAGATGTCTTTGAACAATATAGAAGTTAAATTAAACTAAACAGGCAGACATTTTGAAACCAGTCACTGAAATTAAAAATTGTATTTTAAATTTTGTTAGTCACTAAATATTAGACAAGAACCTAACCTTGCATTCTGCACATTTCATCCCTAAAGTCAGTATAGTTCTGAATAAAGCTGAGGCTAAGGGATTATTTTTACAGTCCGCCATAACCCACCTCCATCCCCCAAATATCTACAGATGAATGCAAAAGGACCAGGATAATGTCTAAATAAATCAAGTGCTAATCTTAGTGCCAGTGCTCGACAATTGTTGTTAAAATTCCTTTGATGTTTGTGGTCATCAGATTGCATAGAAACTTCAGGGGTCAAACTTTCATCACTTGGCCAGGTGTTGTGTGTGCATGTGCACGCATGTGCATGCTTTTTTTTTTTCCTGCTACCAGTACAACCAGCTGCAACAGTTTAATGACTATTTGTGGAACACCAGGGACCTTCCCTCATCATTCACCTGGGGTAGGAATAGGGGCTGAGCACTCAGGATCGGTCTCTGAAGGGTGGGAGGGCTAATAACATCACATTATTAAACCTTTGCTAACTAGAAACATTCAGAGTACTAATTGCTGATGCCCTTCTATTTATAACCATGTATAATCCTGAATGATGCCACTCTGCCTGGGCAAAAAAGATAACAAGAGAGAAAGATCTGAAGATTGTGTTTGGGGTGTTTTACATATTTGGAGTTAATCAAACAAGTAAGTCCACCTGGCGGTTATGGCTCGGTTGAGCATCGTCACGTGCACCAAAAAGCAGTCAGTTGGATTCCCAGAGGCAGCCTATAGATGTTTCTCTCTCACATTGATGTTTCTCTCTCTCCTTCTCCCGAAAAATCAATAAAAAACATATTTAAAACAAAATGAAACAAAAACACCCCAAACCAAGTAAGTCAGTTCTACCAGGTCTCAAATGCATTGAAGCTAAAGGTATTCGTCATTGAGTCTTACAAATGAGTATTTAAGGTATACCAGCCTTTCTTTTCCTTTGGAAAAAAACCCCAAACATAAAGTCATCTTACTCAGTAGACATCAAGGTTATAATATAAATAAAACTAGTGTTTTTTTGCATTTCATTAGCAAAGTTCATTATTTATAGTTGATAAGTATTGTTTTTGCTATAGTGACACATAAAGTTGAACTACCTCATAGTTTAAGAGGTTAGGCAGACAGATAAGGGAAGAAATAGCTGAAAAGTCTTCTATTGGATTATTCATCTTGGGCCATTCTTAAAGTTATTCCACCTTGCTCTATATAGAATATATACTTTGTTCTTTTTTGTAGACAAAAGAAACAAGATATATTTTCCCCCTAAAATTATGAATGTGAGGGTATTGTTTAAAAAAAATAAGATATCTCTTAAGAAAATGTAATTTCAGCCCCTGGGAGAATATAATTATGAAAATGAAAACTTAGTCATTCTTGAACAGAGTATTTAGAATTTAGGTCCTAGACCTTAAACCTTTTAGGGTCATTAGAAATACTTTTTGGTCCATGTCATTTTATAAACTAGTCCCCAGAGTTCCAGAAAAGTGAAAGGACTTGCTTAAGGTCACACAGCTAGTTCGTGATAGCACCGAGATTGGAACACATCTCCCAAACCCCAATTCTAGCCTGCACTATACACCCCCTGTCACTTCATATAACACACAAATATTTTTACATATACATTAAGACCCTAAGAACTATGATCCTGTTTAGAATCATGGTCATGTGTAGTACAAAGTTGTTTTGTTTAAAAGTTCTACTGCAAGAATAAAGTTTTCACGATTATGTTAAAGGGATTGTTTATCTGGCTTGAATCTTTTAATATAGTCTGTTACATCTGTCTAATATTATATCTAAGAAGCTTTATTGATGGTCCTTGAAGCAGCTGCCCATATTATTATAAATTTATATATATGTATGTATGTATATATATATATATCTGTGTGTATATATATATATATATATATATATTCTTTGAGATAAGGGAAACACAATGTTACAAAAGAGTAAATGTTTTATTATTTGTACATGAATCCTTTTGGTCCGAGGCCACACAAGCATCTGGATAACACATAAAAGTAGCCATAAGCAATGGGAGGGTGTTTGTGGTCACTTATACGATCTCCTTGCTAAGCAGTGAGAGGCCCAGAATGGATGAGTCAGACTGTTCGGAGAAACAGGCAGTGGGGGTAAGAAGCAGGGCATGCAGAGCAGCCACGCTTCCATTCCAAAGACAGGGTCTGCGGAGGTCTCAGGCTGCAAAACAGGTTTTCTGGGGTTGGAGGGCCCCTGAGGGACGGACTGAACACAAACAGCTGTGAATGCTGCCAGCCGGCCTCAGCTAGAGGAGTGCCTGCCAGAACAGGGTCCAGATGTGGCTGGCCCCAGTGAGCTGCGGCTGGGGTGTCACAAGGGCACCACCTGAAGCGTAGGCAGAGGCCCCCGCGGGGGAGCCACGTACTCTTCCTCTCTGAGCAGCCGCAGCAGGATGTTTTTTTTATTCTTGGGCCAGCTGTAGACGTGAGTGTTCTGTAGCCAGGTGGGCACATGCTCCTATGGAGAGAGAATGACAGGAGCAAAGGCCATTAGAGAAAAACTTGCATTCCAGATCCCAGGCTCGGTTCCCAAACATCTATAGCTTTCCCTTCTGGGGCATTTCCTACCAAGCCATCCTGGGAGTTGCAGTGTTTCGCTTTTGGAAGGGGGTTAGCATGTGACGTGCTCTTGGCTTCGGGTGCAAGCTGTATATCTCATTATGGAAACCACATGTGCACAGCATTTTCTGTCAGTCTCCCAGGCTACCTGCCCTTTGCATTTCAATGTGCTTTTCACCACCCTCACATAAAAGGGGTAGGACCGAGGTCATGCAGAGTGATTCGAATTCCCCTGTGATTTTGTAAGAAGTATGCCAAGACTTAATCTAATTCATTATCCTTTCACTCCAGCCACAGGTCTGGCCTGCAGTAGAAGGATCCCAGCAGACCTCCATTAGCAGGCAAAGGCAGAAACTGTGAGCCGGGGATTGTGGGGTGCAGTTTCAGACTACCCTCAAGGAGTGGGCATTCTGTGGGGGAAAGACAGAGATTGAATAAGTAAAAACATCTAGTGTGTCTGATGGAGATACATGCTGTAGAGAAAAATAAAACAGAGAAAGGGGGTAAGCAGCACTGGGGCCAGGGTGAACGGTTTGCAGTTTTAAACAGGGTGTTTAGAAAGAAGCGGAGGGAGAAAGCTTTATAGAGACCTGAGTCCAGGCAGATAGAGGAGTGCGCCTGGCTGGTTCAAGGAGCAATTCAGTGACGCTAGAGAAGAGCGAGTGAGAGAGAGGAGGTGAGGGTCCGGAAGTGGAGGGGGCCGTGTCACAGAGAGCCTTGAAGGTTTTTCTCTGAGGAGATGGCAGGCCTTTGGGGACGGCAGGATGAGCTGAGAAGCAGCACCTCCCGTGTGTCAGGCATCATGCTGGGCATTAATGACACCCAAATGAAAAAGACACAGGTACTGCCTTGAAGAGTTAATAGTCTTATGAGGGAGTCAAAATATAAAGAAAAAGAAACTGCCGAAACTGGTTTGGCTCAGTGGATAGAGCGTCGGCCTGCGGATTGAAAGGTCCCAGGTTCGATTCCGGTCAAGGGCATGTACCTGGGTTGCGGGCACATCCCCAGTGGGAGATGTGCAAGAGGCAGCTGATCGGTGTTTCTCTCTCATCGATGTTTCTAACTCTCTATCTCTCTCCCTTCCTCTCTGTAAAAAATCAATAAAATATATTTTAAAAAAAAGAAAAAGAAACTGTTTTCTAGGCAACGGCATACCCAGGGGTCAGGTGGTGGGAGCAATCTACCCTGAGCACAGGCAACAAAGGGATTGTTTGAAGAAGTTTTAAAAACATTAATAAAACCAACTGAAGTTGGTCAGCTTTTTCCATCACCCTGTTCCAGTAATTCTAAACAGTGACTCCCAGTGCCTTTCCCCCAACCACACACCACGAATCAAGGTCAGCACAGGGGAAGAGAGATCAGGAGAGGCTAGAGAGACTGGGTAACATGAGGATAAGCAGGAGTTCACTAGTCAGTCAAGTCAGGAAAGGGCACTGCTAGTAGAGGGAACAGACAGTGCAAAGGCACAGAAAATGAAAGCATGTGTGTACGGGAGGGCATGCTCAAAGAGTCCAGTTTGACCAAAGCATAGAATCATCTGCACATGGTGATAGGGAAGGCTGAGCATGTGGGCACAGGCCTGTCGAAGGGGCCTCACATGTCACGCTAAGAAAGGTGGAGATGATCTTGTAGTCTGTAGGAAACCACTATGAAACTTTTGAGCTGGAGAGAGATCAGAGCTACATTCTGGGTGTCCTTCTTTGATGGCAGAGCAGAGGATGGCTAATACAGGGTCAGAGTGGAGATAGGGAGACCAGTAAGGAGATCTTGCAGTGAGAGCCTGGGCAAGGGGTTGAAAGGCAGGCTATTGTGCAGGCTGTGAGCTGTGCAGCCCTGGGTTCCCATTCACATAAACTGGGCCCTCCCTCATCCAGAAGTCTCCATGCAGTCCTGGCATCTAGGAGTGCAGCTAGGCCTGAGCGCAGGGTGCAGCAGTCTCACTTTCAAGACTTGAATACCTCACTGCCTTCCCTTTGCCAAGGCATGGCCTCAGGTATGTTTTGCCCCCATCCCCCAAACCTGCTGGCAAGCCCTTCTGGTGCAAAAGCCCTCCTATAAACCACAGCAAAGTTCACTTTGATAATTGTGTAGATTTAATTCCTGTATTCTACAGCTTTGAGAGCTGAACTGTGTGCCACAAAATACTTCCGTGGAACAGCCAGCAAAAAAAGTACACATCTTGACTTTCATGTACAAGAGATAAGAAGTATCAGATGAACAGTCTCTTTTTGGCTCATAAGTTAAAACACAAACTACCTCTTTGTGTGTAATAGCTGTTCAAACAATTAGGACAGCGATGGTCTATCAGATAACACTCTCTTCGTGCTGCTGAACTGAGTGGTGCAACTTGCTGATCTTTCTAACACTGTTCTTTAAGGAGTGATAGAGTTGACTAGGTTTTCCACTTAAAATCCCGGATAGCAAACAAAGCAAAGCTTGAATTCTGAGGTTTTTTTGTTTGTTGCTTACCTTCTTAGCATTTGGGAAGAGCACAGGGATGAATCTGAAATTCATACTTCCTTGTTTTATAAACTCGATCTGCATCTGGAAGAGAACAAATTCAAGGTTTAATTTCAGGAACGAGGATGAGGAGTTAATGTACAGTACCCACAATCATGCGAGCCCACAGTGCCTTTATTCTGATTTCCTTGAGTGCCTCACCCTTATAATGTGAAGCTCTCCCCATTACACATCTATGCCATTTACTCATTCACCAATCACTTATTGTAGGCCTAATCAGCGCCACGCTCTGTGCTAGACTTTGTTTTAAGGATTAGGATTGGGGTCTTGCTGAGCTGGTTGGCATCAGCTCACAAAAGCCAGATGTGTGCCTCTTCCCGGTTCTGTGTTCAGTGTCTTCACATTGGTAGCTTGAAATTGGCCATCGTGAGAGTAGTTATACCACAGAAATGGGAAGATGCTATGAATCAGGGTTTTGTGTGTGTGTGTGTGTGTGTGTGTGTGTGTGTTTTTTGGGGGGGGGCGGGTGTTAAGGGTGAACCAGCTTACCAGAATACCGCTGATACAAACAAACACTGTCAGCACAAAGCCAGCAGTTTTGTGAGCAGTCAGAAGGTAAATTACCAACCACAGTACAGTGTGGAAAGTGTGAACAAATTGCTGTGGAAGCCCCAGATGGGGGCCATCCATTCTACATCAGTTACAAGGACAGTTACAAGGGAGGTGTCATTTGGATGCTGGAAGAAGAATGTGGTCAGGCAGGGGGAGAAGGGAAGGACGTTCCCAGCAAAGAAAAGGGCCTGAGCAAATGCCCAGCGTGTGGCAGCAGTCAGTGGGTTGGGACCAGCAGGTAATGCCCTGCAGCTAGAGCACAGAATGGGCTTGGAGGTGAGGAAGGCAGGCTGGGGGGTCAGTTGTGAAGAGGTCTGACTTCCAAGCCTTAGGCTGCCCACACCAGTTCCCATTTGTCCTGACACTGCAGTGGTCCACGGAGCTGTAGCTGCCAGAGTTCCATCAAAACCAGAATTTTCAAACCGAGAGGAGTCAGAGTCTTCCAAATCCTGTAACCAGCACCAAATTTGCAGGCTTCTGATGACAAGGAGAAGAGGAATTATGCGTTCCAACTATTTCATCTTCCAATTGATCTTTATTACGGAGGAGTATTTGTCGTGCATGGAATAAAAACAGAACCGAGAAGAACGTGCCAGTAGCGATGGCTCGTTACTGAATTCGCTGCAGAAACCCCTCCTAAACTCACACTCGTCCGCACTCATGCTTATTTGCGTACACGCCCAAGTATATAACACACAAGTCATCCACAAGGTGTTTTCTCAGAACCACCTCCTATTGAGAATCAGACGACTCCAAAAGCATGTTTTCGCAGCGGTCCTCAAACTACGGCCCGCGGGCCACATGCAAATACAAATATTGTATTTGTTCCCATTTTGTTTTTTTACTTCAAAATAAGATATGTGCGGTGTGCATAGGAATTTGTTCATAGTTTTTTTTAAACTATAGTCCGGTCCTCCAATGGTCTGAAGGACAGTGAACTGGCCCCCTGTTTAAAAAGTTTGAGGTCCCCTGTAAGTGGCCAAAGCACTGCGCCACTCAAAGCACCAGCCACATCAGTGCAGACACGTGAGAGGAAGGGCATAGTTTACTCGTTAAAGTTAAGCACTGGGTGCAGTTCCTGACTCCCAGGGCACTGGACACTGTAAACTTGTTCACCAGGCTGTCTGCCTGTGGAGGGGCCACCAGCAGGAGTGCATGTTTTTCGCCCATATTTCCAGATACTGGCTTTGTGTGCAGACCTGGCTCTATGACTCAGCCCCTCCTGGGCACCTCGTCACACCCTCTGTCCGGGAGTTTGCTGCTGCCTGGAGGGGACCAGGAAGGCTGCCAGGCCGGCAGAAGGCACGTCTGCCTCTGGCCTCTTCAGCCCCTTTCTTGATGAGGGAGGGCCCAGGACATTGTTGCCCAAGACACTGAGTGTGATAATCTGGCTCGTAGCTGGGCGGTCAGACAAGCTCCGGGCTGAGCTGTGTTCCTGCCCAGCACTATAGCACTCCAGCAGAGCTCCACAGGTTTCCTCGGGACCTCGCGGGACCTGGAGCCCTTCCCACACACCAGCTGTCCGCTCGGGACTGCCCGGTTCCTAGAGATGCAGACAGGACATTGAGTGCTTGGAGGCCACGCAGACAAGTAGCAGCAGACAGCCAAAGGGTGGCAGCTCCCAGGCCAGCCATGACCTTTCAGGGCAGAAACGATACTTCTCTGGGCCCTGCCCGTGGGCTGTCAGACCCGAAGAGAATGGAGCAGGAGGGAGACGTGCCCCCTGACTCCTTGGCCTTACTCTGTGACCGCACCACCTTGCCTTGGCGTTTACTTTGGGTTGGTTCTGAGTTCAAATATGTGGCTGGCACTTGGTAGAAGAGGAGACAGAGACCCTGAAGACCCAATGGGGAACACCCACCTACCCTGCCTGTTTCCTGTGCTCCTGATCCGCAGGACAGGCCTGATTTAAGTCACTGTCCCCAGAGGTACAGCTGCAAAGCCCCTGCCGGCCTGCCTGCCTCCTGCCTTGTGCTGCTCACCCGTTCCATCGGGACCACTTCTGCTTCCTGCCCATCCTCCTGGCCTCGCCAGTGCCCATTCCAGGTGCTTGCCCTCTGGGGAATGTTAGGACTGAGATGGGGCTTACAGGTTCTAGTCAAGTGATCTTCAAGCCTTTTTAAATCTCAGAATCTTTGGTAAACAAACAAGCCGGAGAAAGGCAGATAAGCTGTGTCTGACGTGGGGTGAGAGGCCCAGAACACCCACACCCCCAGCACATATGAGCACGCAGTAGGGACTATGGGAGCATCTGACATCCTGGTCAAGCATGTCGAGTCTGGCATCCTGGTCAAGCATGACTGTCTGCACAGTATCTCTATAACTGCTGAAAGCAGGAAGACTGCTTGCCCATAAAACAGCCAGTTCTAAAGCTGGGTATTATTTTCCGTCAGAACGTTCCATAAGATGCTGAGTAAGCTAACTCCCTATAAATGTCTCACCCTGGTTTTGGTTTGACCGGACCCCATAGTTCATGAGCGATGAAGAATAGAGACACGGAGGCACGGAGAGGTTTAAGCAGCCCATGGTCACACAACCTACACGTGAGGAAGCTGATTTTGAACCAACCGCACGAGTCCTTTTCGCCAGGCTACTCTGCCTCTGTGAAAAGGAGGGGGACAGGATATGACACCCCACAGGAGCCCTGCCCCTCACTGCCCCGCCTGTCGATCCTCCTAGGCCCGTGGTTGGCAAACTGCGGCTCGCGAGCCACATGCGGCTCTTTGGCCCCTTGAGTGTGGCTCTTCCTACGCCTTAGGAGTACCCTAATTAATAACAGTGTACCTACCTATATAGTTTAAGTTTAAAATATTTGGCTCTCAAAAGAAATTTCAATCGTACTGTTGATATTTGGCTCTGGTGATTAATGAGTTTGCCGACCACTGTCCTAGGCCTTCACACTTGGTAAACAATCAAACCAGCAGAGCTCTGATTCCAGAATCGTGGAACTTAGATCACAGATCCCTCTGCCCTTGTTACTGACTGACAAGAGCACTGAGTCTCAGAGGAGTGCTGAACTGCCCAAGGTCCCAAAGGTAGCAGCCCCCACTCTCCTGCCTGGGCGTCTTCACCGGCATCACGCCTTCACTTGGTCTCTAGTGGGACAGTCTAGTAAGGGACAGGCCTTCACAGAAGACCCCGTCTCCAGCACTGGCGAGGTGCTGCGGGCCGTCACCACTCACCATGCGATGGATGTACTTAGTATGTAAGCCGTGCTCGTCCTCGTCCAGCTGCGACTCAGCGCCTTCCACATCCTGTTTGTATTTGGGGCTGATTGCTACGATTATCATCACCGTCTTCTGTTAATGAGAGGGAGAAAGCATGTTTATGAAAGTGTAGCGTGCGGTCCATTTGGTGAAGGCAGGCTGGAACCCGGCCAGCAGGCCTGTGTGCATTGTCTGACACAGTGGGGGTGGAGGGCTGGGCTCATTCTCCGTGAAAGCACTGGCTCGCTCAGGCAGACGGCTGTCTCCCTGCTCCCCTCTGCCTCCCGCTCGGCTCCCTGCACACACCCAGAGCAAGTGGCTCTGCGTGGAGCTCTCCTAAATGGATGCGGTTTTGCCCAGCATTTTCCACAACCATCACTAACCCACGGCTAATGAAAGCCCCAAGCACTAAGCGATCTGCATCTTGGTGGTGAGGCTCTGCAGCCCCAATGATGAAACGCCCTCCCTCCCGCAGCCGATCGAAGCTGCCAGTGACTGCGCCCTGACTGCCCTGCTAGTGGCAGGGCCCGTGAGCAGGAGGGCCAGACCTTCCACACAAAGCAGATGCCAGGCTGCACACAAAAGGAAAAGCCAAAAGCTCCAGCCTGCTGAGACCTCCCCACCCGCTCTCTCCCCTGAAGCAGCAGCTAAAGCGCCCACAGGGGCATGCTGGCAGCAATCAATTTCTATCTTGTTGAAGCACAAAGTGCCGGGAAAGCTCTTCAGCCCAGCCCTACACAACACTTGGGGTGGTCTTGGATTAAATTGAATTTTGCCTCTCCCTCCCGACTCCCGCCTTCATTTCCTCCTTCCGTCTCCTGGTCAGAAAATTGTTTGTTCTGATTGTTATCAACCACCTGTGTCTGGTTGGACTGTTATTTCCTGCCTGTGCCTGTCCAGGAGGGCGACCCCATCCTTCCTCTCCAAGTCTTTGCACGGCTGCCAACAAGGGACGCTTTGTTGGGACTTTCTCAGCTTTGGACTTGGTGGGTGTGCCAAGAGCTTCTTTCATAAAATAACTTCACAAGCTAATTGTCTTTCTCACCAGAAAATAAACTCAGGATTTTGAAATGTACTTACATCTCTAAGGTAGCGTTCCATCCACTTAATGATATCAATGCCTCGGATTCTATCCTCAAAAATGTCAATCTGCAAGGAAAGATGTGGGAAGCAGCTCTTAATGAGAAGCTTTATCTAGATGCACAGCAAGAGAAAACACGAGACTATATGCATTTAAAATAGAAAAAGTTACTCATGCTTTTTGCAGGGAGGAACATGTAAGTCTAAAGAAAATACAATTTAAAATAATGTTCCCTATTTCAACATTAGTAGGCATTGAACTATTTAATACCCATAATTAGGATATACAGGCATACATCAAAATGTGTCTTTGCCTACACAATAATTATGTTTTAAAAACCTGAGAGACATGGGCAACAAGTTGGATGTAAGCCAATAACACACAAACCAATTATATATATATATATATAATTTGAAAGGAAAACATGATTCTGGAACATTTTAATGGCTACATGGTGTGCAACATGGTGTGCAAGTATTGAGATATAAATGTGGTGCTTTACTTGCATTAGCCAGATCATCATTACTGTATTATGTCCAGTTTCAATCTATATGTTTAAAAATGATTGCATGAAACTTGGATCAAATCCAAGGAATAGTCACAAAAACAATTACTAAGATGGTGGGAAACGGTTTATGATGAAAATCAAGTAGACCTCTTGGGCCTTGAAAAGACATATAAAGTCTCTGAAGGAGTACTGGAAGGAGAGAAAAGTTAGCTGTCTTCTGTTTTACCGCAGCCTGAATGTCAGGCCGTTCTTGGGCTCAGATCTGTCCTGCAGCCAGAGGGGGGTGAGTGTGTACAAGGTGCTCTTGAATGGAAGGAGGATTATGTGCTGGAATGGGTGACTCAGGTCCAGTGTCCTGAGGAGGTGTTAGTTGCTCCCAGATCAGTTGTCTTAAATGTCATCCCACTATTTAGGACGGATGGGGTCAGCAAGCTGTCCATGGCATCTACTGTGTAGTCTCACCTCTCTCCTCCCCAAGTGCCCTGCCCTGGCACTGTACCGAAAAGCACAGTACTAGCCCCCTGCTCTCTGAGTCCTCGCCACACACCGACTTCCTCCTCCTCACCTCACCAAACTCGACCCCATTGTGACACACACATTATCGTAACATTCTTTCATTTACTAAATGTCTCATTTATTTCTTCAACCTGGTCCCAAGCTTCCTAGAACAAGTTAATGCTTCATGTTCACCAAACTGGCAGATACATGATACATAATGCGAGCTCAGAATATGTTTCTTTACTGATGGCACATTAAAAATGATCATTTGCTGCTTTAAAATGTCTGCTGTCCAATGACTTACATTAAGTAATCTTGAGAAAGCTTTTGTGACTCTCTGTTACTGTGTCAGCAATCCATTTCTGTTCTACAGGACAGAAGCCTCATAATGTTGGGGCTGAGAATAGACGGACAACTTGGCTCCACTCTTGGTTCTGTGATTGGCTTCTGCACTTCCCGCTTGCATGAGTTTGGAAACATTACTAAAATTGTCTAAGTTTTATTACCTTCATTTGTAATAGGTGGTAATAAATGTACTTCCTAGGGTGGTTGTGAGGATTGAAATGAGTTACAATCCTCACAACATGGAAAAGGCATATCATAGTGCCAAGTGTGATGTAAATACTCAATAAATGATGATAATGATTATCCCAGCACCTAAATTATTCCCTGCTGTGAGCTGGACATTCCAGGAGGCACAATGTACTGGCTATCTTCCATTTGTCTCTCCAGATCTCTGCCAAAGTCCACAGCTCTGTCAGGCCAACTTTTCCACATGGCCACTGTTATGAGCCAAATTGTACCCTCTCCCCCCGAGATTATGTTGAAGTCTTAACCCCCCAGTGCCTCGGAATGTGAATGTGTTTGGAGATAGGGGTTTTAAAGAGGTAATCAAGGTAAATGAGGTCACATGGGTGGTCTTTGGTCCAATATGACTGGAGGAGAATAGGACACAGAGAAAGACAGAAGGAGATGGCCACTACAGGCCAAGGAAGAAGCCTCAGCATGAAATCAATCCTGCTGACACCTTGAGCTTGAACTTCTAGCCTCCAGAACTGTGAGGAAGTAAATTTCTGTTGTTTAAGCCTCCCAGTCTGTGGCACTTTCCCTAAAGCAGCCCTAGCAACCCACTACAGCCACCCTTGCTCAGGTTGCTATAACCACTGCTCCTTGCCTCTTTAGACCTAGGGGTGGTAGCAAGTCCCTGCTTTTGCTGTCCCAGGATATTCCCAAAACAGTCCCTTTAAAAAACTCTCCTTAAATTACCCATGAAGTTTTCTCACCACTGAGGAGGTCTTAGTGTATCAGTCCAGTAGTGAGCCGCCAGGACTGGGCACATGATTCTACCACAGGGCTTCGCACAGATTGAGATCACGGGGAGATTTGAATTCTGCCTCAGCAGCCTCTGGTTGTTTAGGTCACAAAAACCTGTCCTCTTCTCCCAGGGCAATCCGTATGCTTATTTGGAAATGACCAAAATAAGATCTTTTCTGACATGTTGGCTTTATGTCCTGTAATTTGACTTTATGTCACGGTTGCCACAGCACTTGCTTATTCCAGAAATGAGAAATTGAAATGTTGGTCTTTAATATAGTCATGAAGTTGGAGTGTATAAATTGTATGCTTTTTTAAACTTTCAAACACTTGTATTTTTTAAAAAAATCATAGAATGGAGAAAAAATTCAAGTAAAAACCCTTGTTAAATGATGTCAGATAATCTTGCAAATGGACATTTTTATTTACTTAGTGTTCCCTCTTTATCCATCAACCTTCCTATCCTTAGACATTCCCCTTAGTTTTTTGCCACGCTCCAGAATTCACGGTCACTGCATTCCCAGAGCAGGCCGCGGGGAGGGAAAGAAGTGGCCTCAGTGTTTGAGGAAAGCCAGTCTTCCACACAGGCTCCTGTGATGTTTTATTTACTGTCAAGAAAAGCTTACACGGCTTGAAGCGGTGGCAAGGCACTACAGGGGGACTTGAGGAGCGTGTGCTTACAGAGATTTCTCGGGCCAAGATCACAGTGGACCGCAGGACTGGGTTGTCTCCCTCCCTTAGAACTAGACCAGCCGAGAACCTGGCCCTGCGGTGGAAGCATCGCCGCTGCATCCGGGTGTGGGATGGCAGCTGTGCACGGCGGGGGACCCAGGCTGCAGGCTTCTGCCTCAAATCCCCCAGCACAACAAAGGACCCTGTAAAATCAGCGGGTGAAGCCTGCCGCCTCCTGCAGCAGGAAGCACAACCAAAGCGGGTGAAAGAGGGCAAAGGGACAAAGTGCAGCAAGAGGCTGGCGTTTCCTTCAGGCCAGGGGTCAGCTGCGTCTGGGCTCGGCATTAACACCCTTCGGGCTGCTTAGAGGTTCTCACAGGGAAAACATGCTGGAGACTTTAAGATCCAGAAAATAATTACCTAAATCCATAAGCATTTAGTTCACAGTCACGTAAATCAGATCAAACATTGGCAGCTATTTATCATTTGTCTCCTTTTGTGTTTTTCTTTTCCTGTACTCACTTTAATTGTTCAGTCTCCTCTTTGGATACAATACTTACTGCAGTTTGAAAGCCATTTACCAGCAAAAAGTTCACAAATTTCACCACCTCCATGGCTGTGTCCACAGAATAAGTGATAAAGACTTTCCCTAAGAGAGATTTTTCACAGTTATTACAAACTAGTCAAATAATACGTATATTTTGAACAATACATGTAAATTGTATGCAGTGTCTTTTGTTCTTCTAGAATAATAAAGGGAAACCTCTGGGGGGGTTGGTCTAAGGGTCTATGTCTGCCCCAGGGCGTGCAGACTGCTCATGGTGCATGGAAAGCAGAGGCACAGGGGAGAGCGCAGGCAGGCTGAGCCAAGCCGAGGAGGTCTTCTGAAAAACCACATGATGCATTAACAGAAAACCCGTCACCCAGAACCTGCATGTCCTTAAAATCAGGACACCACCTGGTTTCTTAGAGACACTTGGCACTGTGCCTAAGGAATGCTCTCACAGCAGGCCAAGAAGCTGAGTCTCGCTATGGGGCCACCCTGTAGTGTCCTCCTTTGATCGTGATGCTCTCTGCTGCCTTGAACTCTTGCTTGACAAGAGCAAGTGAGGGAAGAGGGAAAATGTGCCCTCTCCTTCCTTCCTCCCCATCCACTCAGTGGTGGGGGAAAGGCCAGGAAGTTGAAGTAGACTAAAGCACAACTTGGAAATGTTAGTAAAATCTCAGTAGCTTGAAAGAGAGTCACTGTCTCTAGGCGGTCCAGCTCTTGGCCGCCCTCGCGCCTCCCTAGGTCAGCCTAGGGCGGCAGACAGTACTGTGCCTACACACTTGACCCAGGCAGCATGAGAACCAGTGTTTTCTCAAGCTTATGCCTTGGGGAAATTATCTGGCTAGCGCGTTAATATGAGAGATGAACAATCTCTCTGTGTTGGTTTCTAGTCTGGAATGAACCCGCTATATCTCAGGAAGCCCCGGGGGCAGAGGGTGGAGAAGAAAGTGGAGCTGGAGAGAAAATATGAGTCTTTTATATTAATCTATGCTTAGGCTCTTGTTTTCTGAAACCCACCTCTCAAATGGAAGTGTGTACAATGGTCATATTGGCTCTTTTAAGCAGCCAGGTATATTGATGGCACTCAATTTCTTTTCTTCTCAACACTTTATATTCAACAAATTCCTATGTAATAATTTTAGGACTCCCTTTATGAATTATGGTAAAATAAATATCTATAGACTGACACCAGGCCTATATCCTATGCAGGGTAGCATCCATGCTCCAGAAATGCTCAAAATTATAATGTGTAAGACTTTAAGGAGATTAAAAATGTTTTTTTGAATGAAAAACAACACTGGATCATTGTATTAGAGATCGTTCAACTTCTAAAGGACTAAAGAGCATAGATCCCCAGTAGGAATTAGTACCAATGCAAAAGGCTTAATTTTCAAGCTTGGTTCAAAGAAGTGCCTAGTTTTGGACAGGACTTCGTAGAATTACCTGAGCTTCCTTAGCAAGCACTGCAGGATATAACAATTTCACAAATAGTGGCTGTTTTCCTAAGATTCGTGGAACTTACTGCCCTGACTGACCTTAATATGAGGACATTTTGGTGATATTTCAACATTTTTGTTTCTGAATGCAAAATGTGGAAAAAGAATTATCACCTGACACGTTGTCAAGTATTTCTTTAAAAAAAAAAAGGCTTAGTTTGCATTTGGTTGTAAGGCAGTATGGAGAATGTGAGACTGCTTTTTTCCCAATCAGACTGCTCATTCCTACAGGAAACGACCTCGTTCTTGATGGCTGCTGCTAATTTATGGTGAGAAGTTAGGTTCCTGGCCAATACCATGTGGGCATCCAATCAACTTACCCAGGGACCAGTCCACACAAGAGCATCATTTAGAAGAAGGAAGAAGCATCAGGGTTATTTGTTGTTGGAGTGTATGGTTAAGAAAATCTAGTGATAAGCACTTTGTGAGTATCTCTGGTGGTGTGGAAATCACCAAACACATACATAAAAAATGTTGGTCACTTTCTTAGCAAAAAGCAAAAAAGTAAATTTTATTTACTTGAGAAATATCCAAGATAATGGATGAATAATCATGAAATACTCTCAAAGTATGAGACCGGAGGAGGAGGAGGAGGAGGAGGAAGAGGAGGAGGAGGAGGAAGAGGAGGAGGAGAAACCATGGCAAACAACTTACGTAATTCTTCTGGTAAATTGCTTATTTTCAGAGTTCCTCTGGCTGGAGGGTTACTAGGGGGTCTAGGGACAGCAGCTGGAGACGGAGCCTGGGGACCCTGTGGTCTCAATTCGGCAGGACACTCCAAGGACTCCTCAGGAGCTCCAGCTCGTTTCAGTGGCTGGTTATACGGCTGGTCCCTGGAAAGGAATACATGTACAACAATAAAATTTTCATTTTCAACAAAATGAGGAACAGGAAGGCTTTAAGAACTATGGGAAGATACCGGCGAGTTATCTTTCTCCTCTGCTTCCAGTTCTTTTCTGAGCCAGAGGGACAAGGGTTGCTCATGGAGTTTCGGTCAATAAGCTATAGGGCAGGTTACCATTTGTAAGGGCCTGTGCTAGGAGTCCCATAAGGGAAGCAGAATTTGATTTCTCGATTCAAGGACGGTCTAATTGGGAAGATGAGCCTCATGCACAGCGCTGAGGAGGTCACCAGTAAAACATAATATAATGGTGGTGCAAGGTAGGTGTTACAGGCATTCTGATACAAAGGACTTTTAGCTCATGATAGATAACATCTGATTACGTATCAAAAAGTAGAAAAGGCCACGTAGCTTTAAAAGTATTAATGCTGTTAACATAGGGATGAAAATCTGGTCCTCAAGATCCTTTCAGAAAGTTTCTACCACTTGGTTTTGGTTGCCAATATTCCCACAAACATTCTGTTGAGAAGAACCATCAGACACACTCATGTGAGATTTGGAAGCAGAAGAAATGCAGGCTGTGCTTCTGCTATGCTCCTGTGGCTTGTGCTCTGCAGTGTCAAGGCCAGGGCATGGGCCTCCGGTGTGGCCAGTGCAGATCCAGCGGGCACTGAACGCATCAGTAGATGCAGTGCTGGCAGCTACCTGGTTCTGGATTGTACTGTGCAGCGTGGCCATGAGTGGAGAGCTCCACAGTGACGTTCTGGTTCTCTGCCTCTCTGACCCTCACACTGGAAGCAGCCCCTTTGGTGTCCTGGTTGCTCTGGGATCATTCCAGGAAGCCCAGCCTAAAGTTTGCTTCTTCAACCCAATAATGTTGTAAGCACCCAGTCCCCAAGGTAAAGCCCTTCTGCTTAAAATTGCTAGAGTTGTTTTCTGTAACTGAATTCTAACTGATAAGGGGACTAAGTTTTTTCCCTTTAAAAAAGCTCTGATTCAAATGTTAACATTTAAAAATCGAGGTAGTGGGAACATATATGTTTCTATTTGTTTTGTGTTTGAGATTATTTAAAAATTTTTAAAATGTTTTGATTACAAAATCTATGTGTATATGCCATTTTTTATATGGCTTATTGCTTATGTTTTCATATTTTTACCTAATAGAATAAAATATTCAAGAGAGTTTATACAATAGGATTTTAAAGAAAATGACACAGAATCCAAACTATCCTATATTTCTAAAATATGATTATTTGAGGAAGTTGTTTTTACTCACCCAGAGAAAAATTCTTATAAAATATGCCTTCATCTAATGGGAATCTAATTCCATATCCCTTTTGCATTAAATAACTTTATGCCCAAAGTTGTTTGGTTGTTATACAAGACAAATGCTCATTTGATAAAGAAATCATACGGCCTTGATAATATTAAAAAAAACTTCAATGTAAAAACAAAATCATGAAAAATAATGACAGAGTAAATGTTCTGTATTAATGTTCTCTTTCAAATTATCAGGAAGAGGAGAATTAACTTCATTACCTAGGCTTATGCTCCATGACCCCAGAACAGCAATATTAAATCTTTTTCATCTCGCCCTAACTGGTTTGGCTCAGTGGATAGAGCATCAGCCTGCAGACTGGAAGGTCCCAGGTTCGATTTCAGTCAAGGGCATGTACCTTGGGTGCGGGCACATCCCCAATTGGGGGTGTGCACGAGGCAGCTGATCAATGTTTCTCTCCCGTTAATGTCTCTAACTCTCTATCCCTCTCCCTTCCTCTCTGTAAAAAATCAATAAAATATATTTTTTAAAAAATCTTTTTCATCTCATGGCACACAAACTAATTACTAAAATTCTGCAGCAATCTGACAAAAGTATTGTATAATTTTGATTCATTCACACTGGACAGCTATTATTGTGTTGCTTGTTGTTGGTTTATTTGACAATCTAAAGGAAAAGAAGTCTGTGCCCTGTAAATAGTCAGGTTGTGCATGTTTTAAAAACTCTTACGGCACACTGGTTGAAAACCACTGCCCTAAAATGATAAAACAAATCCAAGGAGACCATAGCAGGCTTAAATTGATGTTAGAAAAGCAATTACTCTGTGCTATAATTGCAATTCTTCTATAAACCTAAAATTATTTCAAAATAAATGTTTATTTTATAAATTATTATTCTTCCCCTAATCAACACCAAATATGTTTCATAAAGATGCTTAAATTTTGTTTTCCTTAGAATTTTAGATATTTCTTCTGCCAGAGGGCTTGTAGCTTTAAAAGCTACATTTTACATTTTACTTAATACTATTATTTGAACTGAAGGTAAAAGAAGCAAGCGTGACTTAGCGTCTTAGGAGCCTTTCTTTCAAGAAATTTTGAACAGTCATCAGTGGCTTTATGTGTTTGGTAAAGAGATTCTTGTCAACCAGCCTCTGCTTCCTTCTAACCCGAAAAGTCTGTGTGGGGCGTTCCACTGTGTGGCTTGGCCACTAACCTGGGTAGTAAACCAGCCGAGTTTTATACTCTCGATTGCATTGACAGCATTTTTTTCATTTTAAAACTATCTGCAAGTTGGTTCTGTAATACTCACTGATATCTCAGGAGCCCTGGGGAGGAATGGTCTCTTTGTGCGGGCCTCTCTTCTTGGTCCCAGGGGCTGGGATAATTCAGAAAGATCTTCTGCACAGGGTGCGGGCCTCGCACACTGGCTCCAGGTAGGGGCTGTCCAGGTAGAGCCGGTTGGATCACTTGCTGGTAGGCTGCTCGAGGGTAGTCCTGGCCATCTGTGGGAGAAGACAGCCAAGAGAACAGGGAAGACTGACTCTAGTCCCTTCGTGTGAAAGGAGAGGTAAGCTCAGTGCAAATTTTTGTCTTGATACCAACTGAGGGTTCCAGATATCAGTTACCACCTCTGTAGCATTTGTCATATTTCTGTACAATCATTTACTCAATAGTTTTCATTAAATTGAGTCATTGTGGTTTTGTTTTCCAAAATAAAAACATCTGTTAAATCATGAGTCTGGTGCTCTAGTTGGAAAATGCAAAGCACCATCCAGGCCCCCATTTTAATAAGTTACTTAGGATAATCCAACGATGAAAAACCTCCCCCACATCATCAGAACCCAGAGCCAGGAGAAAGTGTCCCCATAATAGATAATCACTACTCTTTCCTTTTCTTTCCCCAAGTGGCCACACACACACACACACACACACCACACACCACTTTCTCTTACCAAGAAATAAATGAATGAAAACTTGGCTCATATCTCTGGGAAGCAGCCAACCAGTTGGCAATACCACCCAACTTTCTTGGTCTTTTCGTGCTGAAGCTTACATGCACTTGAGGCCAGGGCGGTTAGAAGAGGGCAGGGCTCAGCACAGCTAGGGCTGGCAGTGACTTATGTGAATGTGTAACCTCAGAGAAAGCTGGTCCCAGCCCAGCTTAGGAGCAGCAAGTCTCAAGGGAAGAAGGGCAGCCTGTCCAGGTGGGAGAAGGGCATGGAAGGCCAGAAGAGGGATGCAGAGAACCCAGTACAGGTGAGAGAGGAAAGCTCTGAGGGAACTGCCCAGGCCCAAAGGAGCTCAAGTGTGGGAAATCTGAGAGGTGAGGATGTGCCTTAGGGGTGGGCCCAGCCTCTGAGGGAACTGGAGAGAGCTACGTGGGTAACCCTGCTAAATTAACCATGAACGCCTCCTGTGAGCCAAGCATTGCGACCTCTGCCCTCGTAAGAAGTTGGATATCTAGGAGGCATAGCAAGTTCGGGTAAGAGGGAACCCGTTTCTCAGAATATATGAATATATATCTTTATTCATTTTCTGATAATAAAAGTAATAATCGAGTTTTCCCACTGTAGGTAGGATACATACAGGGATGTAAAGTGAAATCAAATTTGCAAGCAAGCAATACAGTAACAGACAAGGTAGGTTGGAACCAGAATGTAGAGGGTGAGAATGTGGCTAATGATTGAATTCCTAGTTCAGTAGGTAGTCAGAAGCCATTCAAGTTTCCAGGGGAACATCCAGGGGAATAATGTCCTCAAGTATGGAAAAGAAGACAAACAACCTGTGTGTTCACTAGTGTGGCTCCCTTCAGGTCTCCGCTGTCTGGATGCAGCAAACTTGCCTGTGTGGCCCTGGAAATGTGCCCAAGCCAGTCACTCGTGGTCAGATTCCCTGGATTCAATCTATTGTCTGCTTTGACCTGTGACACTAGCAGGTCCTTCCTGTCATGTGTCCTCTGGCAAAAGTGACTATTCTCCTCCAACCCAGGTTGTCTCCTGGATCTGACTGTAGCCTTTGCCCTACAATTGTTTAGGACTGGTCATGCCGTTAGGGGCTTAAGAAAGAGGAATAGGACTAAAGGGCCTATCCCAGCCTCCAGCTGATAAAAGAGACCATGATTTGAGAGCATCTCTAAGAATGGGGAGATGGGACTACAGAGACCCCTGTGTTCTCGGACAAGATACACTATGCAGGTTTTGCTTTTACAGCTTCTCTGGGGCAGGTCAGATATATTCCAGGGGTCCAGATGGCCAGTTGGAGTTTTAGGCCAACAGGGAGGTCATGACTGCTGCTCTTTGCCCCAGCTAAAGAAAGCATCCCTGCCATCAGGCCACCAGGCAGAAGCCTGCCCTGCTTGTAGATGAATCTGGCACGAATGGATCATTTACAAAACCAGCTGTAGGAACAACCAGGCTGTCCAGAGATCCCATTGCACTTAAAATCCACCCTGCACGATCCAATCCCGGTTCTTCTTGGTCTTACCTCTTATGACGCTCTCACACGCTCGCCAAGCCCCAATTACCATCGTGGCCATCATGCTTCATCTTAAACACCCCAGGCTTGTCCCCACCTTTGGCCCTTGAGTTGGCATCCTCTCTGCCCAGAATGTTTTTGCCTTGTATCTTTACAGATCAACTTCTTGCTATTCAGGGCTCAGAGGCTTGGATATCACCCTACCCCCACCCATTTTACTTTCTCCATAGCACTTAGCATGTGCTTGTGTAAGTAAGCATGATTGTTGTCAACTTCTTGTTTGCCTTCCCTCCTAGCATCCTGTGAAAGCATGGACTGTGTCTGTTTGCCATCACGTCTCCAAGCACAGTGCTGGCACCAGGAGATGCTCAATAAATGAATGAATGAAGACTAAGCAGTTACAAAGCCAACTACACACACACACACACACACACACACACACACACACACACACACACTCTGAAAGAGAAGCCATTCACCCTCTGCCTTCTAGGTCTTGGGTAATCTAGATCAGTGGTTGCCAACTGGTGGTCTGCGGACCACTGGTGAGCCATGAGGTCCAAAAGGTTGGTGACCACTGATCTAGATCACTCTCATTAGCTGTCTTTTATTTTATTTTTTGTTTTTGTTTTTAGTGTCTCTCTCTGAAAGTAGGAAGAAAAAAGACAAGGTAAAAAAAGAAAAATTGCCCAGCTGGCGTGGATCAGTGGTTAAGTGCTGACCTATGAGCCAGGAGGTCATGGTTTGATTCCCTAGTCAGGGCACATGCCAGGTTGTGGGCTCGATCCCCAGTGTGGGGTGCGCAGGAGGCAGCCGATCAATGATTCTCTCTCATCATCAATGTTTCTATCTCTCCTTCTCCCTTTCTCTCTGAAGTCAATAAAAATATTAAAAAGAAAAAGAAGAAACTTTATTAGTGGGCTTGAACATTTTTAATATTTGAAATAATGTTTGCTTCTAATATCCATTAATAAGGGGCTAATAATGTTTTATTTGCTTTAAAAGGACTACCCAGCTCTAATCATAAGGCTTGTTTCTTTTCCAGAAGGCGGATGTTAGTGCTGTTAAACAAAAGCCTTTGAATCCAGGTCATATGATCTCTAACAGATTATTTCCTGCACAACACGTTTTTGTCTCATAGCAACAAATCTTATCATTAAAATCACCAAGGCATGTGGGCTAAGTGTTTGATTAGCTGTAACTTTCATTTCTGAAATGGCCACCTACGGTAAAAACTTAAACTGGTTTATGTGAGCAGACAAAATGATCCACCTCATCTAGTTTTTAAATTAGGGTACTGACAGAACAGTCCTTCATGCTGCCTTTTGATTATTTAAAACAAAGAAATATTGAATATGAGAGGGAATAGCAAATACAAGCTTTCCCTCTTGTAAGTGGAATTTGGCTTTGTCTGGAATTTGGCTGGTTATTGTAGGAAAGTTGCTAAATAAAAACTATGCTTAGTAGATAGATGAATATCTTTCATTGCTCAAATTTTGATAATATTGTTTTACTATTTTGACAGAGGCTTACTAGTTTATGGGGGGTACTATATATATAATAACGCCTAACATTTATTGAGTACTTGATACATGCCAAGCACTGTTCTAAATTCTTTGTTCAGGATTATAGAGTTCAATTTTCTATTTTCCTAATGAAGTTTAACTTAGAATCAAATCCAAATTCCTTACATGGCCCTTGCATCCATCATTGTCTAGCATATCAAGTCTCTCCCCACTCACGCCGCTGCAGCCCTGCTTTCGGTACCTTAGCAAGCTCCTACTTCCTTGACCTTTTCATCCTTTAGCTTTCAACTCAAATGTATCCTTCTCAAAATAAATTCTTGCCATCCTGTCTATTAATGTCTCTTCTAACACCTGGTTATTTCCCTCATAGCACTTACACTTATCTTATTTGCTGATTTCTATTTATCTATCTCCCCAGTAGACTGTGGAAGACAAGCCCATGTGTTGTAGTTACCAATGTACACTCAGTGCCTAGCAGAGTACTTGGCAAATATTCGTTGAATAAATTAAAAAGTGAATGGACAAGTTCTGATTCCAAATCCCAAGGACCTCCCTCCATTTGCCCCTCCCCCATGAGACAATTAGAGGCGGCCTTTTCAAGGCTTGATATTACAGGGGCTCTCTCATGCTTAGGTCTTACTCCTTTCCCCAGGAAGTAGGGAGCAGGTTTCTTTGTATTCATTCAACAGATATTTATTGATTTTCTATGGCTAGACCCTCGGTGAACACAGATAAATAGGATACAGTTCCCTTAAGTAGATCAAAATAAGTAGAGAGAGAAAGAAAATCTGTGTGTCTGTGGGTGTCTGTTTTGAAACACAAACCCACACTTGTTAGTGTGTGAGGAGAGGCGTGCAAGTCGGCAGCCACCTACATGGTAGACTTAAGAATTACTGCCCCAAAATATCTCCCCCACTAACTTGTCCCCAGTCTAAAATTTCATCAAGAGAGTTTATTCTGTGCGAGATGAAGAATAGAAGGTGGTGGGTGGTGTGATAGACAAATGATTTGTTAGCATGGCAACGCCTCGATTCTGAGGCGGTCTTAATCACAACACACACCACAGATCTTACCATCATAAATGGGCGCCCAGAATGGTAGGTTATCTGTCAATCTTATGACCCTCTTGGTCAGAGTACACACGGTCTTCACGTTCCTGGGTTTTTACCACTTGGGAATTTTTAAGCCAAATCCTAATGAGGTTTTCCACTTATCAGACAAAACATTCAACATTTTTCTTCCTTATTAAGAATGGATTAGAAGAGTTTATGAGAGAAAAAATAAAATCTGATTTTCAAGTTGTCAAAAAACATCATGATATAATGCAGTTTAGCCAGGAAACAAAAAAGCCAACATAAACTGTTACAGGGACGCTCCCAGCTATAAGCAGCTGTAGTTCCTGGAGGGCAACTCCTTTCTTGATCATTTCTTCCATCTGGTTTGTCTTTTCCTTACCTGTATTTGTGCGTGCATTCTAACATGCAAATGATCACATTTTTGGGGTCCACATGAGCAATAGCAGGCATGTGTCCACAGTTTTATTTTATTCGGTCTCCTTGCTAGGGAAACCAAGAATTTTATAGTAAAATAAAGCCTCTTTAGATTTAATACATTATTTTTTTCTACTTTATTTGTATTATGGGTTTCATTTGATTGCAGTCATGATCTCTATTCTGGTGACCTTCCCTGGAAGGATTCTCAGGCGGCCATCTCCAAAGGGGGGTGGAGGGGAGGGGTGGAGAGACAGGCTTATTTCCACTTCTCCACTTGCTTTGAAAACTTTTTTTTTTTTTTAACATGAAAGGGGAGACCAGTAGCCATTTTTGCTTTAACTTGCAAAGGCTAAGATATGCCATTTGCGTGGTGATCATTATTTATTTATATTTTCATTAACGGATGAGGAAGTAATGCTCTTCTAAAGCTGAGTAGAACCACGTAGCCATGGTTTCCAACTGCACAAGCATCCCTTAGGTGAACAGCTCCTTTGAAGTGGTTTTGTTGGCAATTAAGTGCAGTTACAGCCCCGACATGAAACTAAGCATTGTACACATGCTTTGAATACTTAAAATCTGTACCAGCAAAAGGGATCTGGAAGTCGAGGAGCTCTCTGCAGAGCTGTGCTGCAGGATTTTAATTTAAATAATAACAGTAACTGAGAGCTGCTAGTTATTCAGGGCTCACTATAAGCCAGCCACTCTCCTAGTATCTTTAATACATTACCTAATTTAATCCTCACAGCAACCTGGCAGGAAGCCTTGGCTATTGGGGGGAGGGGGGAGGTCTCCTAAAATATTCTGGACTCGCATTGCCACACAGAAAAACCCTAAGCCCTGGGCATCCTTGACAAAAAAGACCCAACCCTGACCCTCTTCCCCATGATCCAAGGCATATGCAGGGTGAATCAGGGTGAGCCTGTCTACTCTCATTTTCCCTTTTCTTTTTTCTCTCTTTTACTTATTTTTAATTATAAAAGTAATACTTGCTTCCTATAACAAATGTAGCAAAAGTACATGAAGTTAGAAGGAAAATCTCCCCCTCTCTTCGTAATTCCCTGTCCCCTTCTCCCATGATCACTGTTAACGGTTGGGGCCAGATTTTTTAGTATGTAGTTTTTAAACACATACCATTTTAAAAAATAACACGTATAGAATCTACACTGCATGCTTTTCCACTTGCTCTTTTTTTTTAAATGTCAGAATGCGTATTTTATTCTGTAATAGGAGCGTACTAGTCCACTATATGTTAGTCACAGATTACTTATCTGTCCCCTTATTGATAGGCATTTTCATTTTTATTTTTACTCTCATGCAACAAGGCTTTACTAACCGTCCTTGAGCACCCATTTTTTACCTGCTCACTCGGTGTTTCTGTAGGTTCCCACAGTGAGACTGCTGGGCCAAAGAGGAAGCACATTTAACTTTTGTGGGACTGCCTTCAGGGAGACTGTACCCATTACACTCCTACCAAGAGCAGATGGGAGTGTTCCCTTCTCCAAAACCCACTAACACTGGATGGTGCTCAAGGTTTTTGAATTATGTACACCTCATTAGGGAAAAGGTATCTTTAAAATTTTTGTACATATAAACTTTTCTTAAATTTAGTAACGTTAAGCTTGGTTTCATATGCTTATTGGCCGTTTGTATATTTTCTGTGAATTGTTCCCCTTTCCTGTCCTAATTCTCTCCTCTCTGCCTTTCATCACCTCTCTTCACTCCCAGGATCCTAGGTGTCTCCTTCCTCCCTCCCCTTCAATAGAAGGAAATAATGCAGAAAGCAAAGGGAATCAGGTCACAAGGTACTGGAGGCTGAAAGTGTTCCCAGTCAGGAGTTCTGTGTTTGAAAAGAGCCTGCCCAGAGTGGGCAATGCTCACCTCCAAAGACTGGATTACTTATGGTGCCACTTTAGGCTTCAACAGGAGAAATATTTTCGAATAGGAATATCTTCCTGGAACCCTCATATGATAATAAATCAATGCTTTCTTGGTCTATCATCATATCCTGTTAGTAGATAAAAGCAACTGCTTGGGACTTAGTATCCCAAAGCCCTGGACGATGTATTCACACATCTACACATTAATTTAAGGAATTCATCAGAAATGCAGATAACAACTTAACATACATCATGTTTGTCATGTCATTGCTTATTGGATAAAAAAACTAGAAACTATTTAAAATGTCCCACAATGGAGAAAAAAACAATTTGGTAGGTCCATCAGATGAAATACTATGCAGTGTTTTAAAATGTTAAAAGTAGTGCACTAAATGTCATTGGAAACTACATTGAGTTTACATTGTATGTGTAAACAAAGAAAAAAGAAACAGAAGTAAATATGTCAAAGAACCCAGTGAGGAATTATATTTGGGTGATGGAAATATGGACTGAACTTTTGGGCATATTTCTATTTTGAGAGTGAATAAATATTACTGTTATGATCCGTTTGTGGTATTATTCTCATAAAGTATTCCCTTTTAACCTGGAAATCACTGAGAAATAAATGCAACCCTGACCCTGTCAAAGTTCATTTCTCTTACTTAAGGAACCCCAGCCACCACACACATCCTATTACTGGGCGCTCAAAGCAGGCAGTGGTGTCCAAGGCTCCCAGTCAGGTGACTTCCCAACATCCAACCCTCTGGGTCTCAGTTTTAGGCCTCAGAGGCTCTTCCTCCGCAAGCCCTGCTGTTTTCGCATCTCCTGGCCTTATTCTGAAACTCATGTTCCTTTTCATCTGTTTCTCCTAATTTAAATTCCTCTACTTCCTTCCTTTAAAAAAATCATTAATTGCTGTACTGTTCCATTCACTTTAGAACCTTTATACTAAGTGCACATGTATAATACATAAACTCTGATTGGTGACAGCATTTGTAATTATTTCTATAATTTATTTTAAAGCTAGGTGTCAGGCCTTTGGACAGACTCTTCTTCTATCACTTGAATTGCTTTTTGTACAGTGTTTATTTGCTAAGAAAAGTATCGTATCTCAGAGGCCTGTGTTTGATCTGTAAAGCCCTATCTTTATTTTCCAGTGGCCTCGGTGGAGACTGAATACCAAGGGTTTTGAAGAACCTTCCATCTCAGTCTCAGACTTTATCACTTTCAGAGATGCTCAATGCACTGATACATATTATTCACTCATTCACTTACCCAGAAATAACTTATTGAGAATCTAGGATATGCTAGTCACTGTGTTAAATGCTGGGGAATTACAGATTGAAAATACATCTTTATTGATGTGCAAAAGCTTGCATTTTGGAAAGAGAGGTAGAGAGACTGGTTATTAGGGCCTGACAAGCAGAAACGAAGGCAACAGATATCCTGAAGGAGGGACTGGTCTAGGGAGGTTTCCAGAGGCAACACTTGAGTGAAGTCTTAAAAGATATATATGGTGATGGTCACATAACTCTGCAAATAGACTACAATACATTGAATTGTACACTTAAAAAGGTGAACTTTACAGTATGTAAATTTGATCTGAATAAAGTTGTTAAAGAAAAAGAAGAGGTACAGAGCTGGGTCACATGCACAAGAAGGGAAAGAACACCCTGGATAGAGCAAAGAGCACAGGCAAATACTTGGGATGTGAAACAGCTAGACAAGTCAGGGGACTGCGTCCGGGGTGTGGCTGGAAGGCAGGGTAGAGGCAGATGGCTCAGGTCTCCAAAGGGATTCAAGCAGCAGAATCATAGGAGCAATATGATCTTCATGTAATGGCATGAATCCAGAGTCTCAATGACATTCTGGCACCTTCTGATTTTTTTTTTACTAAAAGCCCCTTTCTCTGCCAAATCTAAGATGGGGAGAAAGCATGCAGAGAAGGAAGAATCCAGATGCCCAAGAATCAGGGCAACAACTACATTTTGTAGAAATCCATTCATTATTTCATACTCCTGCCTCTAGGCCGGTTTCAGTTAACTAGACAGAGGAATCTTTTCTGTCCTTAAAGGTACCGAGAGAAGCCGGTTCCAAGTGGGACAGGTTTTGGGCTAAGATAAAGCATTCTTCCAAAGCCTCTTGCAAATCCAACCACACACAGAAAGCCCTACAAGAAGCAAAATGCCCTCCCTGCATCCTGCCTGACCGGTCTGTGCTGATCTGCGACAGGAGGCACTGACCTGGGGCCCTCGTTTACTTTGTTGCCCAGCCTACCATGTCCAGAGGAGGGAAATCTCACTTACATGGCACCTGGTGAATGGGACCTCCAGGACGATGGTACTGATGGTTCCACTGAGCCCGTGGGGAAAGGTGAGGAGGCGGCATCTGTGCGCACGCTGGGTGCCTCTGAGGTTCAAACGGATGATACTCCCTGGACCTGAGAGGTCTGGGGAGGTCCTGGGGGTAGCACATGGAAGTGAGGGGCAGGGGCCTTTCCAGCTGCCTGATGCCCAGGACATCCTGGGGCTGGGAATTGTACCCCGTGTCTATGGTAGGCAGGTCTGGGGCTGCTCGGTGCCTGTGGGGCTGGGGCCGTGGCACCATCTCTTGGCTATTGCTTGAGGAGTCTGCTAAGGCATTAGGTAAATTTTGGTCTGATTTGCCTGAGCCATGGCCAGTGTCAGGAGAAGCTGCTGAGAGCGGAGATCCCAGCCATTGATTACGCTTTTCCCTAAATGAAAACTGATGCTCTGGGGAGAAGGCACCAATCACAGACTCGGGTTTAGGCTCGCTGGCCCCGAAGGAGTCCGAGGGCAGATCTTTGCCCGGGTCCGGATGTCTCCTCCAGAAGCTGTCTTCGCTCTCCTCCAGGACTTTAGCGCGCAGGCAGGTGATCTGCCGGGACACCGGTCGCTGGTGGTTTACCAGTTGCAGGCGAGGGGGAGTCTGAGAAAAGTCTTCCGAGGAATGGTGAGGGGTTTGGGGTGCAGACGAGCCGTTGGGTGCCATGTTCCTTATGTTTGGAGCAGGGGGTTCTGATCCCTCTTGCAGGGAATATTCTGGGATGGGGTCCAGTAACTGACTCGGGTATGGTTCCGATTCGTCAACCTCCACAGGAATGCTTCGGTTCATGGTCGTTTCTGAAACAAGAGAAAACATGCCGCAGCCTAAGAAGACAGATCCTGTTTTGGAGTGCCCACTTTATGACCTTAAGGGACCTCGCCGAGAGGATGGTTTAGATTAACAGTAGTGTGACACCAACTGTGCTGGCAGAGCCCCAGTCACACAGTTGTTTACTGATCCTCCAGGCAAAGGCACTCACGCTTATTAAGATATTTTTATCTGGAAGGCGATTCAAAGAATGTGACTGGACCATCATGTGGCAGGTAGCACACGGGGAAGACACACATGAACATCAAAGGCCAAGGATCGAGGAAAGAGAACTGAACCCCGATGCGTCCGCTTCATGTGTGCTTGTGAATGTTTAAAATGTGTGGAGGGAACACAGGACATTGCTACACTGTGGTCTTTGAGGATGGAACTCAGCTGGGAAGAGATGTGAGAGGGAGAGCGTTTACCTTTTAAACTTTTAAAACTTTGCTGTGTGACTGTTGCCTAACAATAAAAAATAAATTAAATAAATAAATAAATTTTAAAAAGCCTGTGTTTAAAAGCACTGACAAAAGGGTCACAGTGACATTTCCCACTTAGGTTGTTTAGAGGATTTGCTTTCCTCGGGCACTGTGCCTGCCACGAAGCCAGCTGACCGCCTGGGCTGTGACATGCAGGCTGAACCCGCAAGGTTTGCTAAACTGGCCTTTAGCCCACGGGCCATGCAGCCCACAGCCCAGGTGACCCTGGTTTTACCTGGAGAAACGGAGCTCTGCATCAACGTAACAGGAGAAAGACAGTTAGCCTCCCCTTATGGGCTGAGAGGCCCGGGCACCTAGGCTCCAGAGGAAGGGGCGGGGGGGCGGGGGTGACAGGAGGTCTGTAGGAGGCCCCAGAGCAGGTGTAGTGGGAGGGAAGGAGAAGGAAAAACAACAAATTTCAGAGGTTTGGTCCATGCAGGCCTTGCACAGGGTGTACTTCAAATACCACGCAGAGAAAGGGGCGGTGCCGGCAGGGGTGGGTTTTGAAATTCATATTTTGAATCCGTGTAGCATTTCAACTGCAAACATTTACTGAGGGCTCACTGTGCCTAAAGCCACAATGTACAGCAACTATTGTTCTAAGACAAATTTTGAAAAATATGAATTTGCCTTCTCTGGAGCCCTGTATCCAACCCCCTGGCAACAAGACACATGCACTTTAAAATGCTTCCCCTCGGAGCAGAGATGGGCCAGCGCCTTCCTACCACATGTATCTTCACTGCCTATAGGAAGACACCTCAGCTGGCTTCTCCACTGAGTGCCAAATGAACGCTAGCACTTCTCTGTACCCGCACTTGGTAACAAACGTGCCCATCTGCTGCAAACAACCTCTGACCTGTGTTCTGGCACAGCTGAAAATGTCCGCCTCTCGTTCCTGGCCGGCCCTCCCTCCTGCCTCAGTTTCCACTTTCCTACTGTCCCCTTTCCAGGCTGCTCTCTAGGCCAAGGGTCCTCAAACTACGGCCCGCGGGCCACATGCAAATACAAATATTGTATTTGTTCCCGTTTTGTGTTTTTATTTCAAAGTAAGATATGTGCAGTGTGCATAGGAATTTGTTCATAGTTTTTTTTTAAACTATAGTCCGGCCCTCCAACGGTCTGAGGGACAGTGAACTGGTCCCCTGTTTAAAAAGTTGGAGGACCCCTGCCTAGGCTGTGTGTGTCCCTGCCCCCTCGGCTCTGCAGAAAAGAGACCTCATCACCCAAACTGATTAGGAACCTACCCGAAGCACACCCATTTCAGCTGGTTGTGATGTGTAAAGCTCACCATGGCTTTCCTTTCTTTCTTACAATTTTCCTACAGCTATGACATTGGAGATGCCAGCCAACGTGCTCTTCAGCTGGTCAGGAAACACAAGCCTTTTCTGAAGGGCTGGCTGAGTGTTGTGTAACCTCCCGCTGGCATCTGTGGCGCAGCCGAATGGGAGGGCACAGAGGCATCGACTGAGCCAACCAGCAAGAGGACAGGATTCTGTCAACCCTTTCTTGTTACTCGGTTCTCTCCCATCACCCACACTTCAGGTACCCCTGTGGGTGATCTCCGTGGGTTTTCAAGTGTGAAAGCCTTAGAAGTGCTTCCCTAAACAACAACAAAAGCTGCAGATTCTGCTCTTCTAACTGAGGAGCCGTTGGGGATTTGGAGGGAGCCAATAAAAAAGGTGACAAGTGCCGACATCTCACATAACTGGAAATCTGAGGCCCAGCTTACGGCAACAATTCTACAGTTCAAACTGGTCTGAAAGACACAAAGGGCCCCTCGGATGGTAGTCAATAAACCTGGCATGGTAATGAGCAGCCGCCCAGTAAAGCTATGGGATTAATAATCCTTTAAAAAAAAAAAAGGACCCTGATGTTTTAAACATATGCCTATCAAATATCCAAACAGCAAATAATTAGTGAAACCTGCTATGTGTCCAGCTCTATGCTGGGTGTTCTCCTTAGGCACACACTTAATTTTTTTTTTTTTTTTACAATAGGTAATGCCTACAAGTGATACAACATTCAAGAGTACAAATGGGTATGGAGCAAAAGATATTCAAAATTATTTCTAGAGATGTATAAAACATGTTTTCTACCTTTAAGTTGTTTGTGATCCAGATCAAGAGACAAAACTAGTAACAGGAAATCAAAGGCCCTACCTCAGGGCCTTTGCGCTTATTGTTCCTGCTTCTCAGAGCACTCTTCCCCCACATATCTGTGTGGCTTTCCTTCTCGCCCCTTCAGGTCTTTCCTCGGCTGTCACTTTCTCAGTGAGGTCTCCCTGGCTGTCCTCTCTGAATTTTTCACATGCCCCTTTCACTATCCTCCGTGCTGTACTGTCCTCTCTAGCAGTTATCCTCTTCTTATGTACTACAAATGTGTATTGTAAATACAAATGTCTAATACATTCTTTTTTTGTTTGTCACCCATTCCCCCCCCCAAAAAAATTTAAAGTTCACACTTTAAAGGTGTGATTTTTGACTGCTCTATTCACAGCTATACTCTCAGTACCTAGAACTGTACCTGGCACCCGTAGGTGCTCAATAAATATTTGTTGAATGAATCAATGATTGATGCCTGTTTTGAAGAGGTGACAGACTCATGTAGCTGGCAGTATCACGAACAATGAGAGTGTCAGGCTCCATGAGAGGTAGCAGGGAGTATGGGGTGGACCAAGTCCTCAGAATTTGCTAAATTATACCACATGGGTACCCTTCCCTATTCCTCGCTTTCGTTCTCTCTAATATTGTATTAAGCCCACTCAGTGTCAGGCCCCAAGGTGGCCCTGGGCCATGCCTAAGAGGTCCCACCATGGGTAGAGTTGATCACAATAGCTCTTACAGAATAAAGGTGATTCCACCACCCAGTGTGATAGGAACATGTGACAGCAGGGCAGCTGGTCTCGTCATGTATCCTCAGAGCTTCGCCCAGAAAAGCAGAGGGTGGGGCAGGCCTGCACCTCCCATGTGGGTGCCTCCCAGCTCTGGACCCTTGTGAGGGTGTCACAGAGAACAATTACACAAAAATGCCACATCAGAGGACCCTGGCGGGGTAATGGGCTGTGTTGTGGTTCTAGCTCTTGGCAGTTTTATTTGTTGGTCTTTAATGTCAATATTGTAAAAAGACTTCATATTTTAAAAAGTCACTCAGTACAGCACCACTTCTAACCATTTCCATTTCCCCCTGTTTTATTCCAGGACTTCTCCATATGATGTCCACATGCTTGTAACCCTGCAAGGCCTGTGCTCCAGTCCCCAACTAACAAGGGTGACGCTTGGATTACACTGGAAAAACCCTGTCTTCCACCTATGACAGTGATGGCGAACCTTTTGAGCTCGGCGTGTCAGCATTTTGAAAAACCCTAACTTAACTCTGGTGCCGTGTCACATATAGAAATTTTTTGATATTTGCAACCATAGTAAAACAAAGATATTTTTTTTGATATTTATTTTATATATTTAAATGCCATTTAACAAAGAAAAAATCAACCAAAAAAAGAGTTCGTGTGTCATAGGTTTGCCATCACTGACCTATGACCTAGAAGAAGGCTCTAACCCTGAGGGGGACAGGAGACCTGCCAGCCAGGACCCCTTGAGCCCCGTGCTGGCATCACCCCAACACGAATGCTGAGCTCCGAAGCCTGGGAGACGCTGAGTCTGTCGGGCCTGGAGGTCACGCTTGCCTCACCGTGGCAAATCCCTGCGGGAAGGGAGAGGCTGGAGGTCCGCAGGAACCCAAGGGGGCTTCCAGCTCAGATCCCCTTTCTGAGCCACAGCACAGGTGCCCAGGCCCCACACCCACAAATTCTGAGATGGGGCCAGGGCTCCTGTGTGTTTTTGTCTGAGTCCCACTGGGAAAAGGGTTCTTCCAGACTTTGCCAAGGGAGTGTAATCTGTACAATTTGGAAGTAACCAGTTGCCCTTTGACCGAGTAATTTCTCTTCTAAGAATTTTCTACGGTGATATGTGAAATGAAGTCCTGTGAAATGAAGCGGCCGTGAGGATAGGCGATGCAGCAGTGTGTATTGTAACAAAGAGTAGTAACAAGCCACATGCCCAAAAAGGGTCTGATGGTTTAAACTGTGGTCCAGCTGTACAATGAACACTGTGTCTTTTCAAAAAGACTGAAGAAGTGCTGTGTGAACTGGTGTGGAACTCTCTCCAAGATTTATTGTGAAGTTAAAGCGAGCAGGAGGCAGAGTATGCACCCCTTCGTACCCTCTGAGCTGTATGTGCGCACACCACCCCTTCAGAAACCCGCACAGCGGTCGCCTCTGAAAAGGACCTGGATGACTGGGAACAGGGGCCAGAGGGGGGTCTTGCTTCTCAGAGCATTTTATACCTTTTAAATTTTGTACCAAGTGCCTATGCATCTACTTAAAGGATTAAAAAAGAGAAAGAAAAATAAAGAAGCTCTTCTAGTGATTCTGATGTTCACAAAGATTAGAACCGGTGGGAACGAGGCACTGCTGAGACCACCCAGGAGAGGGAGAGCATGTCCCAGGTGGGAATGGGGTGGGCACAAGCTAGGAACGCAGGCCAGTCCCAAGTACATACAACTAGGCTGAAACAGTTGTGTGGCCAGTCTGGTTCCGACTCTCTTTGACCTGACCTGAGACACGCTATTTTCCTTCTCTGGAACCCACTGCCTTTTGTGAGCTGTGGTTCTAGCTCTTGGATTCTGACCCCACCTTTCTGCAAATCCCTCTGCTTGTCTTCTCTGCCCAGGTCTCTCTGTGGCTTCCTTTCGGCCTCAGGCCTAGGACCTCCCTCTTAGCGCCTCTACTCTACCCTGGATTTGCAGATAAGATCTTACCCCAGATGGCAGCCAATTTAACATCCCATGTGACACTGCTCCCTAGTGTCCCCGTCATAGAATTTTCCATTCCCTCCCTCCCTTCCTCCCTCCCTCCCTCCCTTTCTTCCTCCCCCATTCTCTCAGTCAAACCCCCTGAGCTACCTCCAATTCTTTGCTGATGTCTGTTGCCAGCACCCATTTTCTCCTTCAGGACACCCTGACTTAAATTATTTCTTAAAACGGAGCCGATCAGTCTTCACAACACGACCTTTCTGATCTCACAGTTCATCGAAAAGCTTCTTTCCTCGTATCCTCCCCACCTCCCTTTCTGCATGCCCACCAGTCCCCGCTTGGCCCGTGTGGGAAACAAGCCGTGCACATTCACAGTTAACCGTGCCTGCTGTCTTCCAGATGGGCTTGCCCTGAGTCAGCACATGGTTCTAGAATGTGGGGAAATGTGTGTATTTCAGTGCGCGGGCCCCAGAGCCAAACCCCCTCGGTTTAGACTATTCCTCCGCCAGCTGCGTGGTTAGATGTGTGAACTTGAGAAAATTACTTAACTTCTCTGGGCCTCATTTTTCTCCTCTGTCAAATGGGGAAACTAGCAACACCTGCTCCCTAGGCGTCTGTGAGGACAGAAGATGTAAATAAAGTGCTGACTGCAGCGCCTGGACGATATCAAACTCTCAAAAAATAGAAAGTTACTTTGTTATTATTTTTACAACACTTTCACAGGCACCACGTTTGATAGGAACTATTGCCAGTCACATTTTAAAGATGGGGAAACTGGGGCACTGGGAGGTTTAGTAACTTTCCTAAGGTCACATGGCCAGCAAAATTATTATTTTGGTCTGGGGACTCTTTCTACACTATGTTCACTGGTTTTATACTTGGGTGCTCACAATAGCACAGAAACATGATGTCTGGAGACGTATCTTTTTTCACTAATGTATATTTTGGGCACATTTGATACGTATCTCGCTTGGTCCTTAAAACAAGCTGGATTATGGGCGAGCGGTGTACTTGGTATCGCTTTATCGCTTTACCATTCCTATGCTGCAGAGGGGGGCACATTCAGTAGCTTTCCTAGTCAAAGCTGAATCTAGCCTATACATCTCTTAACTGTTCCCATTAGAGTCATAGAGATTGGGGCTTTTCTCTTAGGGTCCAGATAGTAAACAGTTCATGCTTTGTGGACCATATATGTCTCATACTCTGCCTTTGAGGGTTTGTTTATTTTTAAACAGCCCTTTGAAAATATGAAAAACATTTTTAGTAATATTTCAGTTAGTACATAAAAGACCATGGGTCACTTTTGGCCTGAGGTGGTAGTTTACCAAACTCTGATATAGTCTAGGCCAGTGGTCGGCAAACTCATTAGTCAACAGAGCCAAATATCAACAGTACAATGACTGAAATTTCTTTTGAGAGCCAAATTTTTAAAACTTAAACTATATAGGTAGGTACATTGTTATTAACTTAATTAGGGTACTCCTAAACTGGCCTTTGCTAAAAACGTCCTCAATCTGATTGAGGTACACTCGCTGAGGTCGACCCCTTCCAACTCTCCCAACCACACTCATCTTGTATACTTGTTTCATCTCTCTTTTGTCATCCGCGCGCGATTTGCGGACGCAACTAGCACTAACCAATGCACAATGAGACTGCTGACTGACGGGCTCACTCAACTCAGGCATGAATTGCACGCGCCTCCCCTGCGCCGCGTCTCCTGTCGCCTGACCTACCGACACCCCCCACTTCTTCTAACGCCACTTCTTCAAAATAGACTTGCCCAGGCCGAAAACCGACTTCTGCGCATGGGCCACGAAGTTTCAATCGAACTGTACGTGCGCGCCCGCACGTGGTATTTTGTGGAAGAGCCACACTCAAGGGGCCAAAGAGCCGCGTGTGGTTCGTGAGCCGCAGTTTGCCGACCACTGGTCTAGGCTGTTAAATCCAAATATGCAATGTAATGGATATACTTAAGAAACCTTACGCTTTGTTAGTCATAATTGTTTCTATTCACTGGATATTTACTATGCACCAAATACTGTTCCAAGTGCTTTACATGTATTAACCTATTTCATCCTCACAGCCACCCTATTTGGTAGGCATTATTGTCAGCCCCATTTTACAGATGGGGAAACTGAAGTGCAGGGAGGTTAAGTAACTTTCCTAAGGTCACACGGCAAGAAGCAGAGATAGGATTCAAATGCAAGCAGTTCAGCATCAGAGCCTGTGCACTTAAGCATGTTCTCCTGTAGAAGCATGAATTTATACAGCTATTTGGTGGGGAGAAAGGGGGCAGGGGGAGCTTCTGAAATGAACGTGTTTTAGCGCCATTCACCTTGAAGGTGAGGAGGTGTGGATACAGGCCACCCGTGTGATACGGCGAATCGCCAGGCTGCAAACCTGTGGTGGCTTTCCTTCATGCCTGACAGTAGAGGGTCTGGACGAGACTGCTCAGGCATCTTGATTGGGGAAAAGCACTTGATTGGATCTCATTAAATTTTAATCATAAACTGAATTCAAAATAAATTGAAAACTGGTTGACAGAGCACAAACAAAGGGTGATGATAAATGGTGATGCATCTAGAGAGGGGATATCTTCCAGGGGATGCCTCTGAGGCGAGGACGGATGGGATTTAATGAAGGTGTTATGTCCCCGGAAGAAGACAAATAGCAGAGCAAGAAACAGAGGAAGGGTAGCAGTGAGCTGCCTGAGTAATTAATAAACCACGTCAGCAGCTCCAAACAATCAAGGCTTGCGGCTGTTCACCAGCTGCTCGGATCTTTTTAAAGCATTCTTTGGGTCAACAATAGGGTCAAAGGGCATGAATATTTCAGGTGGGCTTCAACAATAAATATATAAATTTATAGCTAGGAGGATCCTCGGATCCAATTACAAATACTTTTAATTACAGACACTCCAGGTCTTACTTCATTCCCAAGGGAGTAGTTTTCTTACGTCTAAAAGTCATGGATTTTAACAAAAAAGATTTAAACTCGTTAATGTCCTTTGTTTACTGTCCAAATGCATGCGAACTTTCATGACATCGGCTTGCTTAGTGGAAGTTGGTTTAGAGCGAACTGTTTGGCTCAGGGTCAAATTCCAGTGAATAAACACTTCCAAGTTTACTTGCAGAATTTCCCAGACAGAACAGTTCTTCCACTTGGTTTGCCAGAGGATTAGAAGCAGTGGTGAGCCCTGGAGACCAGGGAACATTTACTGGCCCTTGTTCAGACCCAGAACTGTATGCCTCAGCACCAGGCTAAGGGCAGCACGGCGTGACCAGGCCTGATTTGAAGAAGTCCGCTCTGGAACTCCCCTGAGCTGTTAGACAAGGAGGCGATGGGCGAATGGGAACGGGCTGTCTACGCCACGTTGGACACTGATAATAAATATTTAGAGAACAACCTCGAAACAGCCCAGGGGAATGTTTGTTTGCTTGTTTCAGATAAGACTTCTCTACCCACACATTTGTGATTCTTAATTCAGGCCAGGACCCAGAGTGAAGAAGAAGAGGCAGAAGGGAAAAATCAGGAGAGAAAGAGGAAGGGAGAGGAAGGGAGAAAGG